GGAGGGGGGAGGAGGAGGAGGAGTGCGGGAGAGAAGGGCTGAGGGGGAGGCGGAGGGAAACCGCACCCTGCCTCTTTCCTGGGCCGAGGCCAGCCCGGGAGGAAATGTTGAAACGAACGAAGTGTACATCGGTCCCCAGGCCTGCGGGGTCTAGAGCTCAGGCCGCAGCGACCCCGCCCTCCCCAGCCCTTCTGGCCGGACCTCCGCCTCGGACCTGCAAGCCCTGACGCTGGGAGGCGGTTCCCGAGGGAGCCTGGACTCTCCCCCAGTTCAGCCCCGCCAAGACCTGTGCGCTTTCAGATGAGAGCACTTGTTCACCGAATGACCGTGCCTACTTGGGGAACATCTGGCCCCAGAACCTGGAGGAGCAGGGTGACTAATGCTGAGTGCCGTGGCCTGGCACTGGGAAGCGCCGGTCCTCCGTCCCTCTCCCTGTCCCTGGCACCCCAGGGCCCTTGGGGAGTTCTTACACTGCCTGAGGCAGACCTGGAAGAGTCCCCTGTGCCAGGGCCGGGGCTTTGCCTACTTCGCGTCCTTGTTCACCCTTGTGCGTAGCTACCACCTAGTACCTACCCACCTGCCCACCAGTGTCAGTGCCTGATACGGGAAGTTATAGCAATTCACAAAGAAATCTATCACAAAGGGACATGGATACTCACACTTCCTTCTTACTCCTACTTCCAGGCAGCCATTGTTCATGAGTGCGTGTGCTCAGTTCTGGACACACCGCCATGCACGGATGCGCGTTAACATGCTTTGTAGAGAAGAAATGGGGTCAGGATATCATAAACTGAGCTCATGGGTAATGAGTATTCATCAAATGCCAAGCTCTTGGTCTGAGCACTTTGCATATATTAATTTAATCCTCACAAACCTTAAATAGTAAGGTTTGTTACTATGACTCATTTTTCAGATGAGGAGCCTGTGACACAGAGAGGTTAAGTAGCCTACCCAGGATCACACAGCTACTAAGTCCTGGAGTCAAGATTTGAGCCTGGCTCCGGAGCTTGTGAGGTAACGAGGCCTCCCACTTTTCCATGTGTATTGTTCCATGAATTGCTGTTTCCACTAAGAATATGTTCTTTTCTGCCAGCAGTGGAAGATTCCTAGAAGAGGAACTGCTGGCTCTGAGATTTCTAGAGACATTGGTAAACCCTCCATACCGTGGGGACCTTACACCAGCCTGCAGGTTCAAGCTCCATACTGGACCTCTATCCCCACCCAGCCCCCAGAAAAGTAGCTGGGATTCCAGGCGTCTGCTGCCCCTTCAGGTCATGAAGTGAGGAAGAGGGAAACTTCAACAGGCCCATGTGGCCCTGATAATGGGCACGGTGACATTTGGGCAGAGAACCCCAGGGCCCTGCATATACAGACCTGGGACCAGCAGAGAATGCCCAATGGGGGTGCTAGTGGCATTGCCTGGCCATGGCTCTGTCCAGCTGTGGCATCATATCCCATGGCCAAAGTGTCCAAGCAAGCCTGCTTCTGCCATTGACCTAGGGAGGGCTGTTGACGCCTGCTTATTTTCCAAGCCTGTTCCTCCTGCATCGTCAAGATTCTGAGCGCCCTCCAAAATAAGATCTTTTTCTGTAGTTGTTACTGTGGGTAAAAAACCCTCCTGTCTAATTGCAAACTTCTAATTTTTGCCAATCTGATAAGCAAAAAAAAAAGGGGGGGGGAATTATTTCATGGATTTAGTTTCCATTTCCTTTTTAATAGGGAGGTTGGGTGGAGACTCATTGCTTTAAATAAAGTCCATTCTTGGCCAGACACAGTGGCTCACACCTGTAATCCCAGCGCTTTGGGAGGCTGAAGTGGGAAGCTCCCTTGAGCTCAAGAGTTCAAGACCAACCTAGGCAACATAGCGAGACCTCACCTCTACTAAAGAAAAAAAAAAAAGGAAAAAGCAATCCATTTTTATTTTCTTCCAGCCCAACAGATGTGTGGCTGGGCAGCAGCTACTGAGCTTGACCACATTTCCAGCCTGCTTTGCAGATAGGCTTGTCCACAGGACCAAGTTCTCAGCTACAGAGTATGAGGAGGCCTGTGATAGGAGCCTCTTCTGGGTCTCCAAGCTGCTTAGAATCAGGCTGTGGCAGTGCCCCAGGGGAGGTGAGCAGCAGGAGAGAAGGGTCTTGGGGCTCTGGGGGACCAGAAGGAGCAGAGCTGCTGCTCAGCCGAGACCCATAACCTGAGAAAGAAACAGTGATGGCTCATTTTATGTGTTAAATTTGTGGCCACATCGCTCAGATATTTGATTAGACACTATTCTAGATGTTTTTATGAAGGTATTTTATTTATTTATTTACAGACAGCGGCATCTCACTCTGTTGCCCAGGCTCAAGTGCAGTGGCATGATCTTGGATCACTTAAACCTCCACCTCCCAGGTTCAAGCAATTCTTGTGCTTCAGCCTCCCAAGTAGCTGGGATTACAAGCACCTGCCACCATGCCAGGCTAATTTCTGTATTTTTAGTAGAGACGGGCTTTCACCATGTTGGTCAGGCTGGTCTCGAGCTCCTGTCCTCAAGTGATCCGCCTGCCTTGGCCTCCCAAAGTGCTGGGGTTACAAGCGTGAGCCACTGTGCCCGGCAAACGTATTTTTTAAGATAAGATTAACATTTAAATCAGAAGACTTTGAATAAAGCAAATTACTTGCCACCATATGGGCAGACCTCATCCCATCAGTTGAAGGCCTTAAGAGAAAAGAGACTGACCTGCTCCGAGCAAGGAGGAATTCTGCCAGCAGACTCCTTGTGAACTCCAGCTCGCAATACTGGTCTCCAGCCTACTGGCTTACTCTGCAGATTTTGGATTCACCAAGCCTCCACAATCGCAGAAGCCAATTGCTTAAAATAAGTCCCTTAAAATAGTTCCCTAAAATAAACTCTTCAAAATTCCTTAAAATAAATGTGTGTGGCAGTGTCTGTGTGTATATATATCCTATGTAATGTCTGATATAGATATATGTTAGATAAACAAATATACACATTTATCATATACGTGTGTGTATATTTCTCCTGTTGGTTCTGTTCCCTGGAGAACCTGACTAATGCAGAAACAAATCTGTTGATTCTTCTAGCCCCTGTATCACCGGGTCTCTTTATTAGAGCAGGTGAGCCTCACTCTAATCAGAGGTTGATTCATTTCTATGCGTGTAGCTACTTCTTGTTTAGCGTCTATTACCTGCCTGTATTTTAAGGTTCTTTGTCTTCATATGACTCCAGGAATTTTATATATTAAGTATATTAAACTTTTGACTATTATATGTGTTGCGAGCATCTTCTTGTAGTTGGTCACTTGTCTCTTTATATTTGGAGTGGCTTTCAACATAGAGCAGAGGTCCCCAAACCTGGGGCCACAGACTGGTCCCATCTGTTGTCTGTTAATAACCAAGGCTCCTAGCAGAAGATGAGTGGCGGGCGCGGGAGCAAGACCGCCTGAGCTCCGCCTCCTGTCACATCAGCAGCGGCATTACTTGGAGTGCAAACCCTATTGTGAACTGCGCATGCGAGGGATCCAGGTTGCGCGCTCCTTATGAGACTCTAATGCCTGTTGATCGCAGGTGGAACAGGTTCACCCAGAAACCGTGCCCCCACATCCCGGGTCTGGAAAAATGGTCTTCCCTGAAACCGGTCCCTGGTGTCAAAAAGGCTGGAGACTGCGGACCTAGAAGATACGTTAGTTTTGACTCTTGGTGCATGCTCGTGACAGAAATCCCACTCAACCTAGTAGAATGCAGAGGACAGTTCACTGAGCAATGCAAATAATTGCCACCTTTATAATACTGAAGGTTCCCATGGGAAGCATAATACATCTCTCAATTTATGTCCTTTAATACGATTAAAAATTTTTCTTCATGTAGGTTCTCCAGAATTTTGGTTATGCCTATGCCTAGATTATTTATGATTGTTGTTACTATTGCAAATGCCCTCTCTTATTGATTATTTAATGGTGTATATGGAAAGTATTGATTTTTGTGTATTTGCTCTGTGCCCACTTTGCCCTCTGACTGGTTCTTACATTTTATTGAACTTTTCAGAGGATATGAATTATGCTGATTTAAATGTCTTCTTCTGATTCCTGCATTATTATCCTGTCTTCTCCAGGGTTCCGTCTACTTCTGCAGACTGCTGGTTTCCTTCAAATGTCTGGGGACACTTGCTTATCTGATCCCATTTGTAAATGAGTGTCCAGACAGCGGTTCTCAAAGTGGAATCCATGGACCCCCTAAGGGTTCTTAAGACTCTTTCTGGGTGTCTGCAAAGTCAAAACTATTTAATAGGAATAAAACCGACTTTTTTCCTAATGGGTGTTCAGGTGCTCGCTTCGGCAGCACACATACAAATGGGGGTTCAGTGGGTTTTCCAGAGTCTACATGATGTGTGTTATCATTATAGCTTGAAAGCAGGACATATGAAAATCCAGCTGTTGGCCTGGCACGATGGCTCATGCCTATAATCCCAGCACTTTGAGAGGCCGAGGAGGACAGATTACTTGACGTCAGGAGTTTAAGAGCCACCTGGCCAACATGGTGAAACCCCATCTCTACTAAAAATTAAAAA